AAAACATGATATTGATAGACAAGTATTTCGTATTCAGGCTCCTTCATCAGTTCCGAATAGGCCACAAATAAAGGTTATTGACCATTTCAGCCATACTATGTCCGCCTCGGACGGCTCCAGCTAACGGGGTGGTGTTTCCTACCGGACCGGTCATCTACGAAGAAGGGGTCGAGTTTTCCTGTGACCAGGGATACGTACTGAACGGCGCTGCTACTGCAACGTGCACAGCTGATGGAGCGTGGAGTCACCCTGTTCCAACATGCTCACGTAAGATGAGTTTGACACTCAGTTTCACATTTTTATTCGATTGTGGCTTGTAGATGGCTACCTTATAGTGCTGGAAATAACAAAAATGGACAATTTCATGTTCAAAAAAGTTAACACGCACGTCGTTCTAATAACATTCAATATCGTAGAACAAGATTATTTTAACTACTCTTACGTCTGCGCCTTTAGTACATGTATGTATTGTAATAACAAACTATTACCCCATTTCAGGCAGACAATTGCAATGTGAGACTCTGACGGCCCCAGCTAACGGAGCGCTCAGTACCACAGACAGGACCTACCAGGCCGTGGTTACCTTCACCTGTAACACGGGATACGTACTGAACGGCACCACTAATACTACGTGCCAAGCTGATAGAACATGGAGTAATTCTGTTCCAACATGCACACGTAAGATGAGTTTTGCACTATTATTAGCAATTTAGAACAGATAATTCATTAGAGACAATATTTTAATTAATATTTTTCGTACTAAAAGGGATAACTAATCAGAACTGCAGATTCAACACATAGTAATACCTAAACATACTTAAAATACACAATTTCAGGTGGCAATTACAACGCTCATGGTTGATGGTCCCAGCTAACCATGTTATGCTCGGGAATTGTTACTGTAAAAGTAAACATCCTCTTTGCATAAACTGGAGTTCTTTTTCAAATAACGAAACTAATGTTGTTCCTAATTCCTACTGTTTACATAGTTGATCGTATCAAGGTCAGTATATGCCCTCCCGAGATTGAGGATCTGGTAGTTGGAGAGACCGTTTCCATCACATGTAACACCACAAGGCTTCCCGGTGATTATAACTACCAGTGGACGGTGGATGGAGCAGTCGTACCAAACCAGGGAGGTCCTGTCTTCAGGTTAGTGCATTGATATGCTTATCTTCTCATAGAATAGCATAACAACTACTACTGCTATTATTATGGGTTCACCACACCACGAAGTGGTGGTGAACCCATATTGCTTTTTCTGATGTTTCTTCTCCTCCTTCTCCTCCTCCTGCCACTTCTTTAAATTGATTCAACTCCTTTATTTTTGGGCGAAATTACCTGTAATTTCGTATAGAGGTAGAGTGGGTAAATACCCTTATGCGTTTTTTAATTTTTTTTGATACAAGCTTTTACAATCGTTTTATTTAGCTTTTTAGTGGTCCCCATAGGAAAGTACTGTGGGGGCGTACGCGCGTGACGTAATAAGAAAGGAATTCGGGGGAAGGCCCAAATATGGGCATACAAGCAGGTGTGGTCATGTTTTCAGATGTGGCTGTTGATTGGCTGTTGGCTAATTAATTTATTTACTACCATTTTCACGTACAATAGGGGGATTACCAGCGCGGTTGGTCAACGCGGTCTCGGCCGTGGGCCATCGGCTGGTCCACGCGGTCTCGGCCGTGGGCCATTACTATTTGATACTCTGATATTGGATACCGATTCGTGTGATTCCTATAAACATTTCACCTAACTACGAACTAGTTGGAAGAATTGTAGCTGCATGGATGCCTGTATATGATTTTAACAAACACTGAAAATCTGACGCAAAAACTGGCAGATATTTTGCTCTTCTCTGTTGGAACAACGCAAGCGGGAGGTCAATGACCTGCGCCCCGCGAGTACTGTAAACAACGGTACGTAATGTGTATCGTCGGCGCACGCGCGCGCGCCACGGTATCAACAATTTTCCACAATCTTCACCGACTAGTATTATATATTCTGTTATCGATTTCTGAAGAATCACCAAAATTGTAGAGTGTACAGGCGTTCATATGTTGTTGCTGAGAACATCGCAAGACGGCTTCCTGGCAAATTTTCCTAAAGCGAGCGTTGAGGGCTTGCATGCCCGACAGTTTTCAAAGATTGGACAGGCAGCCGGCGGCTTCTGCTAGCCGGATTGATAGTTACGCTACATCAAGGTACCGGTGGTTCAAAAGCGAACCTGATAAAGAAGGAAATCTCCTAGAAAGTCCCTTACTAGTACTTGAAGCGATCGTTACCGCCATGTTGTTCACTTTATATGACATACAATGCAGATAGTAATGGAAACGCGTCCAGATAGCTCGGTTGGTAACGCGCAGGGCTGCAAGTCCAGACATTGCGAGTTCGAACCCCGGTACACTGGACATTTTTAATTACCCTTTTTACAATTTTTAACAATTTTAACATTTTTAACAATTTCAACAATGTTAACCATTTTAACCATTTTACATTTTAACAATTTCAACATTTAATTTTAACATTTTCGTTTTAATATCCATTGCTTTGCTTTTAACATTCCAAAACTGATTGTTCTTACTCAAGAATTTCAATAACTTCGAATGTTAGTCTTTTGTATTTTTTCAACATACAAACCAAAATCACTTTGATGTTGTCACAAAAGTAACATCTGTGCGCGCATCGGTTTTCGTTCATTTAAAAACTACAAGTACAAAACATCTGGAAACTAAGCAAACATACTCAGTAAATTGATTGCTGTAATTCCCGATTTTTTTTCACTGTACCGCAACGCAAGCGGGGGGTCAATGTTCACGGTTTTCACTGTCACCTCTGTATTGTGAACTTATCATCTCAGTTAGGAAATAATTCCTGGACTTTCTTTTTCCTGCAACTGTCACCACCGTGAATATATAGTTCCGTGAACATGTCCATTTTTCTCAGGCCGTGAAAATTTTGCTTCCGTTAGTAGTAGTTACAATCTCGTCAAAAGTGTAAAGTGAAGCTGTCGAGATTTAAAGTGCGTGTCGTTGTATCTTTGTAAAAAAAAGGAGATAATTGCCAAGTGCCAGTTTTGTAAATACCTGTCGAGATTCAAACAGCTTGTCCTTGTATAATTGCAGTATGATTTATTTAGAATCTCTCATTTTTGTTTGGGGAAGGGTATGGAGTGAAATTCCTACATTTGCTCCGAAGCAAATGTTGGCCTTTCTAGTCTGATGTTTCTTCTTCTCCTTCCCTTCTCCTGCCATTTTTTAAATGGATTCAGCTTCTTCATTTTAGGGCCTAAGGTCCTGAAATTTGGTATGGAGGTACAATGGGCAAATACCCCTAGGCGTTTTTTAAATTTTTGTGATACAGGCTTTTAGAATGGTTTTATTTGAGTTTTTTGGCTGTGTTATAGCAAATGTATTACTGTGTTAGTGTGCCGTGTTTACCACGTCTGGGCATGAGTCATCACAATGGAATGCAGGGCATCAACCAATAGGCATGCAGCTTTCCTCTATACTTCTTGCTGATTGGCTGTTGGGATTTAACTTGATTAACACCTGCACAGAGCATTTCCACCTGCACAGAGCATTTCTTGCTGATTGGCTGTTGGGATTTAACTTGATTAACACCTGCACAGAGCATTTCCATACTGACAGTATGTCTTTATTCAAGTGTCTTGGTAGGTATTTCAAGCTTTTCTGCTCCAGCATTGGAATGCAGGGCATGAACGTTTTTTTTTTTGAAAATCAACAGTTTGCATTATGCAATTAAAAATCCTAACCAATAAAGTAGGGAATAGCTATCCAACTGTTGTTTTAGTTGTATGTTACTTCATATTATAGTTATATCAATGTAAATCATTGTTTTCCCTTGTGTTTCTCATTCTTTCCCTGCCATGTCGTAAAATGTGGTGAACCCATCGCTGTATTTGCTCCAAAGCAAATATTGGCCTTTCTAGTTGTACACTAGCATTACTAAGTTGCACATGTACCCACATGGCATATCTTCCCCAGTACAGTCCCACTGCACTCAGGTTCTTCACTAGCAGGATGTTGGCTGGGATTTTGGGGATGTCTCCTCCTGCAAACCCTGCAACCAACACACGGCCCTCCCAGGCTAGGCTGTGGAAAAATAATGGAAGTCAAAAATAGGGTGCTGTTAGATACCAGTCAATCACACTAATAGAGACTGACAAGGTCCAATTTCAGTTAATTTAAGTTTAGGGCCTTGCATCTGACTAAGGTGCAGAATCATGCGTC